CTAAAAACCTTAACCTTAAGACACCATCAGCTCCATGAGGGCAGAGATTTGTTTCTGGTTTGTTGCCTGCTATGGAGATGGGAAGTATTCAATAAATACTTGCCATGTGAACGAATGTGTAAAAAGATGGCACGCTTCCTACACTGTTCAATTCTTACACATGGCCTTCAAAGTCCTTTAATGGAGTTGTGCCATCCTCTGCTAGCACCTTCTCTACTGTGATGCTACCTCTACTAAAGTCATACTTCCTATACAGGTTTCGCACATGTATTAAAAAGCTGTCTCCTTCTTGAGCACCTAGTGAAAAAAGAGTAAATTACAACTATAATTTCCTGCAAGTTTTCAATGGATATAAACTGTGTGTGTGTGTGTGTGTGTGTGTACGTGTGTGTGTACACGCACAGCTGGTAAAGCACACTGTAGCCTGTAGGAGTAAGCCTGATGTAATTGAAGCTTTCAAAGTAAGTTTAAATGCCTAGAATAACTTATGGTAATAATACTAAGTACCTACAAGAATGCTTTTGAGGATAGTTAAAAATACCTTACAGGTTTTATTTAATTAATCTTCACAGATATCTTGGGAGTTAAAGGCAAGTGAGCATAATTATTAGCTCCATTTTACAGAAAGGAAAGAAAAGAAAAAAAGTGGCCTGATCATAACTTTACTGTCGTATCTCTTGGTGCCCACAAACAAATAAGACATCCTAAAATCACAGACACAAGGTCTAATGCATTTCCCATACATTTGAAAATTTGCCTTTAGTAAATTTAACTAAATAGATACTGATGCCTTCAAAACTTTTCATTAGCTATGATTGCCCTGCCTAACGTTTCTTATTTTCCACCATTCCCCAAATCACCCCTTCTTAGGTCCAATATTGAATGTTGTCCTTTCCAAAATTAATCCAAGCTGCTCTATATATTATGTGTTGAATAATCTTCCCTTCCACAAACTCTGAATTATATCACTCCTTGCCTTTATTTTTAAATTTTAATTTAGCTTTACATTTTTATTAAAGTAACAAATATAACAGTATAGGAGATTTTTAGCCCTGGAGATTACTGCTAGAAATTCTAGATCGAATAATGGCTCTCTGCAGCCCACTGTTAGTCTATTTTCGGCTGGCACTTCTATTTTATTTCATTGACTGGACAACTTCCGTTTGATTTCTGAATTAAATAGGTTTGCTAAAATCTCATCTCCATTGGGAACGCTCTTTTCCATTTCCTTCACTATTATCGGGTTCTTTCCTAATGGGACTTCTATGCTGACACTGCATTTCACCTGGTCTCGGTAGACACAAGCTTCGCTGGTTATTCCGAGCCAGGGATCACTCCTTCATGCCTGTCTTGCTCAGGCCATCTATTTTGCTTTCTCAATCCATATATTCTTTAATGACAAACACTGGTTTTAAAATTTATCCCAAAGATTGAATGCATTTCAATGTACTTGGGTAAAAAGGAAATAGAGGGCTGATCATTTATGTGAAAACTAAGAGAATCAAAATCAACTGTAAATGCAAATTCCATCCCTTTTATTCATCAGAAACACAAAGTTACCATAACTGAAACTACAGAACCAAGTATGGCTCAATAACAGAAGCATATAAAAATGCTGACCTAAAAGTGTCAGAAATCTATTATGGTAGATTCAGAGTTAATCAGAAGACTGAGGAAAAAGAGAAAATGCAAACATTTTGTTTGTTATTATTTGTCCACTGATAACCTCAAGAACCTATAATTTCTCTCTAAAAACTTAAGAGCACTTCAGGTAGATCTAGGAAATAGCACAGGCCTAAGAAACTTTTAATCTGGAAGTTTATTATTTCAGTTACAGCAAGACTCTACCTTTTAGAATTATTTTTTAAAAAGTCTATTACCTATATTAAAATTTCCATATTTTAAAAAATATGAATTTTGAGGACTTTTTTTATGTAGTTAGGCTTGAGATTAAAGAACAAAGGAGGGGCCAGCAAGTGGCACATTGGTTAAGAACTGGCTTGGGAGGCCAGAGGGCCCTGGTTCGGATCCCACATATGAGGGCCAGTGACACTGCCCTCCACAGCTAAGATGCTGAACAACAGCTCAACCTGGAGCTGGGCTGCCGTGAGTCGCCGGCGACGGTGTAGGCTGCAGCCCCTATGGCAGTGGGTTGCCATGGGCTACCGTGTGTAGCCAGCAGCCAGCGTGAGAGGCCGTCCAGAAGCCGGAGACTGATCTGCCTCGCCCAGGAAGAGCGCAATGATGGTGCCAACTTGGGTCAGTGAAGCAATGTCCTCCACAACTAGACTGAAGAACAAAACGACAGCAACTTGTCTGTTCCCCTTCTCCCAGTTCCTCAATAAAAATCTTTAAAAAAGAACAAAGCAAACTCTCCTCTCTTTGAAAATATTTCAGAATCAGAATTATGCCATGGCATTTAAAAATCCATTATGATTAGACCATTTCTGTGGCAGAATTTTTGTAAAACGTCACTTTGATGGGTCCTACCTAACAGTATAAACAGACTTTACTATAACTGTTCCAAATGTCAGAAGTATAAAAGTTTTGTACCTCTCTGTTTATCTAATTATTCTGCTAGTTTTTCTTAGAAAAATTGAAGTATATATTTACCATATTTGTCTTAGGTTCATCATCTGCCTGTGTATATAAGCCCCATTCTATGACCATGTCTACATATTGGGAATAAGACTTTGAACAGAAAACAAGGTGCTAAGCTAAGTCTATTGATACCTGTAAGATGAACTCTCTATATTTAGAGACAGCATTATTTTATACAACTATCACTGCTTTATTGTTTTAGTATCTTAAGATTATTTTCTATAATGACCTAAATATCTTTAATATGAGAAGTAGGGATTATAAACAAAATGTTGTATTCTTTTTCTTAAATAAGTCTGGTTTTAATTTACATTGTCAAAAGCTAACTTCATTATGATGAACATCTCAAACGTCCTACCCAAAATGGTAAGAAATAAAGTGATCATAAATGGCTATTGAATTTTTCCTAATAAAAGCAGCAGTTGTACAAAACGATATTTTTTTCTATTTATGCTGAATATTAGAACATCTATCTAGGTACTTTCCCAAGGATCTTTCTTACTAACAACTTCTGTTTATATTGTATTTCTATTCCTCACCTCCCTATCATATGATCGTACTGAATGTATGTTATCTTGTCACTTAAATATTTCCTTTTCTAAAGTAACAAGAAATAAATCATTTGTAAGTTCAAGTATGTATAAAAAAGTTGTATTCTTTACAAGTAGTTCTTGAAGACCTAACTGCTGGTAACTTCTTCCTTAATCAGATTCCCTTCTCCTATATGGTTCCCTTCTTTAAGTCAATTAGCTTTCTTTGTTTCTTTAGCTTGAGGATTCTCAAAATGGTTCCCTTTCATCAGAACTTGGCTGTTCTTTAAAAGTGGGGAGGAAAACTTCTCATTGAAAAGGGCCCGAGTTGAACTTTAAGAAAAAAAAAAAAAAAGCATTCTTTTGTTTGACTAGGATTTTCATCTGTCTGTTAAATTCTTTAGATGTTTATTGGTTTATGTTTGTTCCTGAAAGTTAAAAAGAATGCTCATAGATGTTGGGAAGAAAAACATCATTATAATCTATCTGTTAGTACAGATAATGCTGACTTTCACAATACAAGTGCAGTGCATTGTTGGACATCATGAGTCAGACTGTGTTGAAAGGTCAAGTGTGCATTATTATTCCAACATTCACCTTTCAGAACATGCTTGGGATACTCTACACCCAAGTGAGAGTTAGTCTGATTGTCATTAGGTAGCTGCTATGTGTTAGAAAGTGACATGATGCCTGAGAATACAATCATGTTAGGAAATACAAACATGGTGAATAATGAGTATGCAAAGGCACACAGTGACATGTTTACTTTTTTTCAGCTAAAGATTAGTACAATGTAAATAACTACCAGTCCAGTCCACCAACTTACACACGTTTTGCTCCACTGAACTAAATGGAATCAAAATAATTAAGTTAAAGTAAACATCTGGTAAACTATAATACTATAGGATCTCAAATGTAAACTATATACAGTAAAGGCCTTTTGTGGTCTAAATATTTTACACAGTATCTTCTAAAAACACTATTTAAACAGGCTTCAATTGTACTCTGTATGGCACACTCAAGATTTAAATCAAATAAAGAAAAAATCTCATATATATGTATATATAAAATCTGCAATAAAATTGAGCTGACTGCTATTTTGCCCTAAATAGTGACTCTGGTTGGAGATGGAAAATTTTCCATTTCAAGTACCTGAGTGTGGTAAAATAACATGACCTGCAGGTTAATTCATCTGGTCTCTGTTAAATGGGTCTGGAAAATAGAAGAATTCCACAAATGCAAACTATGCACGGTTAACTGCTAGTACCTGCCCATCAAAACCATACCTAAAAACGTTTCGCAAAAGCAGACCGATAACTACACAAGGAATAAAAAAACCATGAAACCAAGGTCATGAGGGTCTGTGTCTTTTTCATTTTACATTTTAAAGAATAAAACAATCTTGGAATGCCATGTCTCCTGATTTTCTAAAACAGGAGTTTGGATTTAATCAGGTACCAAAGAAACCGAGAGTTTCCTACTTTTTAACGCTCATCTTTTCACTAGCAAGTCTAAATGAGAACATCACAAAAGTAGGGAATGTTATGCATCAAGATGAATCATAGGATATTACAGTCATGGCAAATGCTAATTGTCTGTACATTGCATTTCTTACTCCTAGGTTCATGGAACCTCAACATCTGCACTTAACTCGTGTTTGTGTCCTCTTGGGCTTATTTATACCACTTCTGTTACCCTCAAGGCACAATATAATGCAAGTATAGATCTTAAAGAAAACAATAAAAGTCAAGTTTGTTCATGAGCTGTAAACAGTGAAATTGCAGAACTAACAGTGTGAATGGAATACAAATGTCTGTGTTCTCAACCCCCAGCATGAGGGGAATGAAGGGGGATGAGGAACTGGCTTACCTCTGATGTGCCAAGAGCATGTTCTCCAGCTAAAAGCAGCATGCTCAGGCCTCCCATTTGAGTAGGATCTAAATAAGTTAAAAACAAATAAATCATCAATTTACAACCATGAAGTATGTATAATCCACACAGAGACCAAAAAAACAATACTCACAAAGAGTGGCAATTAGAAGTCCAACAGAACCACATATAACTTTTTATAGAAAATATTTCAAAACTCTTTATGTAATAATAACCTGGAGTATGTGCACTTAATATCATACGTTTGTCAGACTTTTAAATACCACTACTGTTCCACCATGACAATGTATTCTGTTCTTCAATACCATAGCTGCTTATAGCATGAATTATCTCCTACTGTGATGCTGCTTTCCTTACTGCATGGAGATTCTGGATGGATTAATTTTTTAAACAAAAGAGTGCTTATGCTTGTCTTCTAAGAAGTCTGAGATTGTTATTCTCAAATTGTTATTTCTCCCACGTGAAATGTGGGCTGATAAAAAGAACCAGGCTACCAGAGGAACTAGAAAACAGAGAGAAATATTACAAATGGGCCTCCAAAATCTAGTGGGCTTTGTTTAAATAATCTTTTTTTAAAACTTTCAAAAACAAATTGAAATTAAACAATGATGTCTTTTGGACATAATAAATCTTAGGAGTAAAGTCAGGCCCTTCCTTGAAATACCCTTAAGATTTAAAACAAATCCTTTTTATATTACTGAAGGTCTTTGCTTTCATTCCTTCAATAATCAACAGAAACAGAAAGACAAAATAAAAACAGCACATTGGAAGATCTATGACCCAGGATTATATCTAAACGAAGAAAGTATGACAGACAATAAGGAACCTATATCCTTTAAGATTGTCTTAAATGAATTAAATTTCAGAACTGCAAATGCAATAATGTGAAAATGCCTAATTCAGAGCCTATCCTAGTGCATATAGGTCTTCAATAAATGCATTTTTAATTTTAGGGATCTCTGTACAATTATAAATGAGGATCAGGCGTACTGTTGCTTAAAGACATTTAGGAGTTTGTTTTCCTTTTCTTTTTTCATTTTTGTTTAAAGGTATGCCCTTAAGTATATCTCTGTATACAATCTATCTCGAGAACTCTGAAGCAACTATGACCACAGCTTATACAGTCAAATTTATAAAAAATAGAAAAAGAAAATCTGAGGTAGTTAAAAAAAAAAAAAGGAAGAGGTTATGAAAAAGGAAAATATGCCACCAAATGATCAGGTGGCCAAGAAACAGCTCAATGTTAAAAGGTAGTCACATAGAAGACACACATACAGAACACACAGGAAGACTGATTTGATGAAAAAAGACTCTTTGTTTTGTTTTAAGATTCCATCCTTAATTAAACGTTAAAGTTAACAACTATTGTGGTTGTTAAAATTGACACTTAAAACTATTTAAAAATAAAAATCAGGAGGGGAAAACAAATTTAGCAGAAAGTAAAACTTTAACTTGGCTCTTTGAGCAGCTAAACACTTCTGCAGCTGTCATTTTAGAGATCAGGAGGATTGGATGATTGCTTTTCAATAAAGATAAAAACGTGTTAGTTCAAATTATAAAGTAAAATAGGAACACGCTTATATAATAATTTTATTTAAGTTATATACCAGTGGGACTTTGCAAGAAATTTGCTGTATGAATACTAAAACACAGACCAAGAAATTACCATCATCCTTTATATTAATTTATATTTATACAATGTTACTTAGAAATATCAAAAATATATAAGGAGATATATAAAGAGCATGCTTTCCCTTTACCAACAGAACTTAGGCTAAATTAAATTCTACACAGCTTTTCTTTCTTGGAAATTATACATTTGAGTGCTTTGAGGTTATTCGAAATAGCAGAAGGTCATGTGACAAGGACTATTGGAAAAACAAAACAAAAAATGAGATTCCAGGTTGAGAAAAATCTTAGCTGGGCCTTTAAAAGCCCTACGGTATCCCCTAGATTCAAACAGCTAGGCATCATGTTTTAATTAAAGGCAAATTAATATGCTTTCATTGTATTGAAAAGGGACATAGCTAGAAATACCAGACCAATGTTATACACTTACACACTAGTTTAACAAGGGCTCCGATCACGGATTTCCAACATCCACAGCAGGCCTTTATATAATGAGATAAATGCAAGGAAGTGTTTTGTTTTTCCCTGTATTTGGCTTTAAAGAGCACAGCTTTTAGAAGCTGACCTGTAAATATCTTAGTTGAAGTCTAGGTCCCATTTTCAATTTGTAAATATAAAAAGCAGATTAATAAACTGTCAGAAACAGTGAGACAAACAGACATCTTTCATAGCTTTCTGTAGTTAATCTGTAATTACTTTTGGTTTGTGAAGAGCCAATTCTACGCAAAAAAAAACATACACAGGCTGACCTAGATTTAGAATTGGGAGAAAAAGCAATGGAAGATAAATGATAATCAAAGCCAATCGTTCATATATACTCTTTTTTGGTCTTGATAATGAAATGTTTTACAAAACACTTCATAAAATATTATGAAAACTCCAACTAATATAATCTGGGAAGTCCAGGGAGCTCACCAAGACTCCTAGCAAGGGGTGTGAAGCTAAAATTGTACAAAGTAACAGCTAAAATAAGGACAGATCTCTGTTTTGATTCTTCTGGAATATGCAGAAGCATCACTTTGGAAGCTCACCTAGAATTATACAATACTATACTACAGACACCTACGTAACAATGGAAGACTTTGTGCTCCCAGAATACCACCATTATATTAGACTATTTCTTAGGTTTACCTATGACACCACCACATACTTTTTTATACTATGAATCACACACTGAACTATTAAATCTCATTAGGACTACTGGCCATTAAAAAAAATGAAGTGTCATTAAAAAAATGAAGTGTCATCACAATATTGTTCAACCTCCTTTCCCAAGCTTTCCATATTACAAATGATTCGGTGCTCTCGTTTTGAAGAAAATTTGCTTGTAATAATGAAATAGGAACCCTACAGCTCCACATCAACTTCCCGCTTCCCCTCTGCCCCATCTCTCAATTTCATCCTGAAAAATTCCTCTCTTGATTACTGTACTGCAATAGTCAGGGAAGACAGAACCACTTACGGGGTGAATACAAATACTTTATTTCATGGTTATAAATGTTTTAGCATTCCTTACTACCCAAAGAGTATCCAAGGTCCCATAACAAATGGGACCACCTGGAATTTGATATGTGCTTGGCCCATATAGAATGGGGGCAGCAGAAGGGTTAGGATGGGACTTTCCTCTAAGAAAGAGATGTCAGATTCATCTCAGTTTGGGGATGGATTTCTTCATATTTTTGCCCTTGATGTTTCAGATACTCAGGTAATCTACATAACTGTATTCTTTTTTTAATTATGCATGATAACTAAGGTGCCTCCTGGGATAGCTTAATAGTGTGTATGTATATGTAAGCTATTTTGTTACATTATCAAATTCCCTGAGCTCCTGACATTCTCCATATTGCTGCCTGCTTTTTCCACAATGTCAATGTCAGGAATTGGTCTACCCCGCCTTTCTTTAATTATATGTACTCATTCTACGTGCGCCACGCTGCAAAGCTTTAAGATATGCTATATATTCGCCATTATTTCCTTTTGGCCATCTATTTTGCTTCTCTCTCTCTCGTTCTATATTATTGGATAAATGTGCTGCTGAAATGTATTGCCCTGTCCTTAAAGAACAGGTAGCAATAGTGTCTCAACTCACCGGCCATTCCAAAGTTAAGCTGAGGCATTTCTTCAGTCTTTGCTTTCTTGGGGCTTGGCAAGTCTCTTGAAGAGTCAGATGGGAAGGCCCACAGTTTCTTTCGTGGATTGACAGAGGGTGTTGGGGATTTCACAGGCTTGTTTGTGGTAGGACACCATTTGTAGCCAGGATTTGCTTTCATAAATGCATCTTTATACTATAAATAAAGAATAGATAACAGATTTTAATTAACACACAGATTGAAAAAGTTCTAATAGCCTTCACGTCATCCCAACCATTTAGTCAATGAATGAAAAACACCCTTGCAGTAACTTCAGTGGCTTTCCTTGTAGAACAATGACAATGTCAGCACAGGGCTTCAGAGACAGGCCGTGAATTTATCTACTAAAAGTTCCTTTATGGGATGAGGGGACAGAGGCAGCAAACTTTTTATCTTTTAACCCTCAATTGTTTTTGGTATCCAAAAAGCTGTCTGACCTTGGTGGAGAGAAGGAGTTATTTGTCACAGATAGAGGCAAGGGCTTTGAAGACAGGAAAACAGGAGCTCAAACCCTAGCACTTTCACTTGGGGCTACAGTGACCAAAGATGGAGACCAAGAATGGAGAATGCACGAGTCTGGGCCTCGGCCTTCAGCCTTCACCTTCAGAGAGTGAGAACAATACGCAAATGCCTGGAGTTCCTGTCAACAGTGGTACACAGCAGCACCTATTTCAAAGTAAGTGTTAGGTACACAAAACAAAGTGTGAGCTAATACCAAGGCCAGTAATCAGGCTCTGCTCACTGCTTAATTTGGTAAGTACAGTAAAAATTAAATCTGTGCTTTGATGTACTAGGAAGGCAAATGCAGGGAAACTTCACAAAGTAATCAGCTGTGGGATAAATGAACCAAGATGGAGAAGAGAAGGGGAGCAAGAGGCAGGGTGACGCACAGCTTTCCAGTTATCTGAAGATGCAAGGCCATGCAGAAGAACGAGTACTCGGTGCAGAATCTGGTGACCTGGGTTCAAAACCCATCTAGGCTATTAGCCGGCTGTAGACATTGAGCAAGTTGTTCAACTTTTCTCAGCCTCAATTCCTCCATCTATAAAATCGAACTGCACCTGACAACATCCCGGGGTTTTGTAATGAGCACATGAAATCACCAACGTGAATATGTGTGTTGAGAGCTGCAATGTGTGATTTGCAATTAATCCATCAGAGACTTTATGTCTGTATTTGGAGGTCTCAGCCTTCAGTGCAATAGTTTCCCTTCTCCTGTGTCTTTCTGTGGCCTTGTCCTATTGCCCTTTCTCCCAACTCTGCCACGTCTTCCCCCTTCCCTGACAAAAAAAAATTAAATGAAAAATATTTCATGTATACCAAAAGTTATGTTGTATGATAAATTGTATTTTCCACGCATTCTTCAACTATTATATGTTATTACTGCTGGATACTCTATTAATACAATTCTTTCTACCCCATAAGCTTGCTTTTTAAAACAGTCACTTTGTGTTTGTTTAAAGTTAACTAATTAAGTATAAGCGCCAAATAGATTTTTACTTACCCCCGTGGGAAAAAAGGTTTCTTTACCCTTGGTGTTAGGAAAGTATATGTAATCCAAATAACAAACCTTTCCCAGTACTTCATTTTAAATCATATAAATGAAAATTGTACTGTAGGTAATATAATATTAATAGTCAGTGGTTTAGAATTATCCCACAGTTACCTTAATTCAAACTTTCTGACTAATCCTTTTTTTTTTTTAAACTAAAAGTTGTACATCTGCATATTGATACATAGGTACATGTAGAGGAAGGTAAGCATTAAAAAACTGTAAGACACAGTTGTACTTTTCTTTAAAAAAAGTTAAAACGGGACACAAGGCCAGAGCCAAACTAGAATCAAACAGCAGAATATATCTGCAGGTATCAAATGTGACAGAGGAGACACCTTACCCTACATGTGCACGGGGGGGATTTACATATTGAGCTGAGGCAGACAAATAGCCTTGCCCACTGTCTGGAAGTGGAAAGTGACAAATGGTAGGGTGAGGTGAGAATGGAAGCAGCAGACACATGCATCATTACTGTGTTCCAGAAAAAGGCACGCGGGCTGGGTTTGTCAGATGAACAGTCATTTGGACAAAGGTCACCCCTCTATAAAGTGACAAAAGATTCCAAACAACTTAATTAACATATTTGTCATGAGAAAAAAAAAGTGGTCTAGTTTTTTAAGAAGTTCCAGTTGTGAAAGATATTGACAGATGTCACTAGCACTCAGCTTTCTTCTGCTTCTAAGGCGTCTCCTTCCTCCCTTCCAATGCTGATCTGCTAGATAAGCTCTTTCCCAGGAAGCTAACGCATCCTTTGCTAAGAATCATTTAGTAATTTGAATGGTGAAAATCAATACATGTAGTGAAAATGAAAGTACTGTCAGACTTATGAATGAATTATTACCAGCATCAACTATTTTTAAAGTACTGATAATACTAATGAAGGTCTAAACTAACTTATAATGTGGAGCTGTGCTGAAAACCGTAAAGCAGTGACAATCCCTGATATAATCATTCCTTTCTCTTGTATATATTCCACCTACTCACCTCCATCTCAATACTTTGTGAGTGTGGATTAGATGACAGACGCTGCTTAGACAATGGGGATGAGGAGTATACACTGGAATTTCTGCCTTCAAATTCATCACAATCCACAATTAGCCATACAAATATATTACTTCTTTTAACATAATGGTCCATAAGCCTTCCCCTGACTCAGGCATGAAAAATGGTTTTGCAAAGAGTCTGTAAAAAGGGAAGCTTACCAATGGGTTGAAGATCATAGGGCAAGAAAAAGGCCTGGAGGACGTGCAGTTTTATGGAAAACGGTAACTGAGAAATCACTATAAGGGTCAATATGCTGTCACAGTTATCACAATATTCATTTTGCAAATTCTTAAACTCGATGTAAATGATCAATTCCAAGACAATATTCATTAGCTCCATCAGGTATATGTTGAGCAAAAGAGTTAAGAATGTGGGAGACAGAGAAAAGAGTAACACACAGCCTTTGTCTTAAAGGAGTTTAGAACTTAGATGGAGGTGCTATCAATTCATTTAAAGACACACAGGACAACGCAAGCAATGTATGACTGAACACCAAGTGAGGCAGAGGCAGGAAGGGCCTCGAGGTGTGAGGGTGTCTATCTGCCCTTGGAAATGGGCCCCTCATCAATTACTTGCTCTGATTCAGCAGTGAGAGACAACAGAAAGGCTTAATTATTAGTCGTGATGAGGTTATTAAGGAAAGGGATTACAGAGAGGGCTGAGTATGGGAGAAATGAGGAAAGATCGTACACAGTCTCAAGCAAATATGAGTGGAAACTGTGTGGGCAAAAATCCATTATCACAGGACTGAAAAGGCCAGAGACAGGTCCCACCCATCAGATCCTCAGGGCAGGACTGTTCAAGGTGGAGGTGGGAGAGGAAGCTGCATTATCCCCTGGGAACATCAATCACAGTCCACTAGTCCTATCTTGTAACTAACCTGTTGCTAAAATCTCCCATTGAAATAAAAATTCACCTCACGGCTTCCAATTTTTTCCTCCAGATTTGTAACCACTTAGACAACCTAAGTGAATCTACTTTACAGACAGTTACTGACTTATACAAGTTCTCAGTAAATACTGGCTCCCTCTTCTCCACCCCAACCACCACATTTCACTAGCAATAATAATCAATCATTGTTACTTAGTAAGGTATTAAATACATACCCTTTGCCACAGTACTTTGCCTGCTTCATACATGACAATGGCATGATTATATACCAATAGACAGTACCTTATTAAGTTAATCTTTTAAAAACTGGGTCTCAACATTACTTTCTTCTAGGTCATTTATAAGAATGGAAATTTGATCTTAAAAAAAGCACCTTAATGTTAATGAAAGATACACTTAACAACCCCACTGTCCAATTGTTTGTTTTAATTGGGGGCGGGAAAGGGGGTGTGCTATCTACAAGTCCAGAGTATTTCGAGCTAATATTATTGTCTATATCTTCTCAACAGAGTGAAAGAGAAGGGTAACCCTGGTGAGGTTTAGTAACAAGGAAACCTGGGAATGTCTATACAAATAAAGACAGCTAATTCTGGTGCAAATATGTGAAATATTACCATAAAATAAAATCTACCAGAATTTTGGAGGAGAGATTACACAGGAAATTATCTGATATTTTAAGAAGAGACATCACACATTTTTAAATTTTATAACTCTGCTGGGAGTTAAGGAAGCACCTGACATAATAATCTCAGCAGCAGGCAGAAAGCACATTATACAAGGGTGAAGGAGGGAAGCAAGATATTTAAAAAGTGACACTAATTTGTATTTCCTTAGCTCTAGGCCTTTCCCTCACAAAAATTAAACACACACACACACACACACACACACACACACGCCATTTAGATAATAAATGCAGTATCTCAATAGCACTATCTGATCTGAATTATTGCTGCTAGGTGTTTTTAATATCATACAAAGAATATTAGACTGTTTTATGTGACAGAACATTGAATTAAATTTATGGTTTTGACAGAAGAAAAATATTTTAAGTTATACATTAACCTGCAAAACTTTGATGATAAAGCCACTCCAATAAAAATTACACCCTTCAAAAAGTTACTAGAGTAAGTGACCAGGGAATTGCTTGGTTGTTGTATTGTGGAAAAGGCATAAAGGAAAAACTGAATGCAAGGGAGTCAGCTATAGATATCGTTACCTAAATTAGCTGTAAGAATTAGTGTGGCAACAGTGGCTCGTATTCATACATAAAATTTTTTTTAAAGGCCAATTTTACTTCCTAATTTGGGTAATTAGGAGAAAAGTCAGTTTAATCAGTTTGTAGTAATAAAAAAAAATCAAAGTTTCAGAATTTCTTTTAAAATGTAATTTTGTTACTTTTTAGAAAGTAAACAGGGATCTGGGTGCATAAACACCTACATTTCTGAAAGTGTATTAATAGATAAATTCATATGTTCATGTAAGTCCTTATAATTTTATTTTAATATTTAAATGCTAGTGTTTGCTAATAATTAGCAAATGGACCGATATTTCTGAAATCAAGTAGTTAGTTCACTTAATTGAACATCTATCTTGTTGGGGGCTAGTAATGCTATTGGACAGTATCTGCCCAATTGGGTAAATGATACATTTAGTTCTGTTGATTCTTGTGTTTTAAAGACTAAGTGTGCATTTTATTGGGTTGTCAGAAAAGTCATGACGCAGTTTTGCAACAAAAAACAGAAAAAATACGTCATGACTTTTCCGACAACCCATTAGTAGCCCTCCACTGTGTTCCCAGTTCCTAATAAAAATAGTAAATAATAACTAGGTAGAGAAGTATCAGTTACCAACAAACATCGTTCGCGTGTCAGAAATAATGATAAAACTAATATTTGTATAGCATTTTAAACTTGAAAGAATGCGTGCACATACATCACCTTCTTGCATCTCACTTCAACCCCTGGAGGACAGGTATCTGTACTGCCATTTTCTAACTATGGAAACTCAGAAAGGTCAAGTATGAGAACCCCAGCTCTACTACTGCTAACTTGCTTCCTTGGATAAGTCTCAACTTTTCTGGGCCTCCGTGTCCTTATCTTTAGTCTTTGCAAAATAATATCTACCTCATGGGGTTAATTTGAGGATTAAGTAAGTTAAATGTTTATACAAGGACCCTGGACAAGATAGAGCAATATTCAACAACTGATTGTTATCGCTTCAAAGATAAACACTTAAATATTTTTTTAAAATACAGCAAAAGCCCTGATGTCTAAAACACAGGAATGGGAAAGGACTCAGAACAAGGAATGTTGTGAAACATGCAGTCCAAATATTTGGTTTTACTATCAAATCCCCCCAAAGTGGTGGGGCCCCTAATTAAGTCCCCTAACTAGCAGTCACAGTCAGAAATTAGAACCTGTGAACGGCCACAACACTGCACCATCACACACTGCTGAATTTAAGAAAGCAGCCCAGATTATATCCTTAGGACAGTATTTTTAAATTACTTATAACCAATGATTACTCTAATGAGATTCATCAGAGAACATGAAACCCTCATTCCATCATTTTTTTTTCAACAATGCAAATTAGTACTGGGCAATAATTCAAGAAACTGAAAACAAACCCCCAAACAGGTGCCTCCTCTCATCAGATGCACTAAGACAATCAGAAGCAAGGAAAAGGGTCAGAGAAAATTTTAGCAGGTTAAAAAAAACCACAAACAACAAAAAACCTTTCTAAAGTGGTATTAATTATCACTCGCTGCTGCTTTAGAATATGTTTCTTTTAAAAACAAAAACAGGAAGGAAAAAATTAAGTACTTCTCAACTCAACTGATAATAACGAATAGATACTGATGAGTACCATGTAAGCATTCACATTCACACTCAAACTACACTGCAAGAATATGTCTTGTTCCTAATAGAATGCATTTCAAATTGGGGGTTTTAAATGTAAAGGTTACACATATAAAACACTTTTAAAAATGATTGCCTGAGGGGGGCCTTGAGGAATTGAGGACATATTTATCACAGGCAACCACCACAATACCTGGTACACTGAAGCCATCAATAAGATTTTGTTTATTCACTGACATTCCAATTAAGGCTGCAATATTAACACAAAAAAACATCAGCACAATTACCTGCACTGTCATGTAATTTCAAAACCATTTAGTTAATAAGTTGAAACAAGCATCACTTGTAACTAGAAACCAATTGTATAATGATTGTGAAAAGAGCTGAATATTCCACACTTTGCACTAGAAACAAAACAGCATTTTAGAACAACTATAAATAAGACAAGTTACAAGGGAAGATCCAGTTATGGTCTCCCCTTATAGTAGATGGCAGGGGGCCACCTTAACAGATTGCATTACAGCACAATGGCAAACATTGTGAACCTAATTAAGTAACTGGTAAGGGGTTTCCTGTATGAAAATAATATTTCCTCCTCTTAAAAGTGGCCACCTATTGGGTTTGTAAATTAGCAGTATTTAAGAAAAGGCAAACAATATACTTGGGACAGGCTGCATGTTATCCAAAAACAGCAATTCAAAAACAAACTCAAGTGTTTAATTATAGGAAGCTAATGCAGTTCCCTATGAGGTTTCAGGTAATTGTTTATTTTACCATATAAGCATGACTACGAAAAGATGTAAGGCTATTTAATCGGAAAGTTTTACTGTTAATTATTGTTATGCTCGTGGAAATCCATTTAAACATTTAAAATCATGTAGGTTATTGGAATCAATTTTAAATTTTCCAGATGCTCTACATAGTTAAAATCCTGTCTTTAATAGCAGTTAATTCCTGAAGACTTATGTGAGCATTAATTACATAGCAACTAGGCTAATCATTTACTCTGGGTTCAAATTTCCCTGAACAGCGAATAAGACATTTTTATGTTCCATGTTAGCTTGTTAAACAACTCAATAAAATCACAGCAATTAAAATAATTATTTTCCCACACGCTGAGATGTCTAATAACATGTGTCACTTGGAACGCTATATTTCATGCCCTGATGGTTCATCTTTTCACAGAACTTAAACCAAATGTTTGGATGGCAGGCGTTTTCATGAATCAAGATTGTTTGCAAGCTGCAACACTGAAGAAGTAATATTAGGCTTAGTTCTTTCAGGTTTAACCGCAATATTGCTTTGCTTTTCCCTTACTTGATAAATCTATTATACAATATATGTTAAATGTACAAGGATCTCATATTTCAGATTCATTGAGAAACAGACCGGTATGCCTTTTCTGAAGAAATTTAGTCACTGCGATCATTTTGGGATTGATTCATGTCGCACGTCTCTAAAGAGTTTTCCTGCATGGAAATGTTTCTCACCAACTCCTGCCTACACAGTATTCACACACATACACACATCACAGTACATCCTGCTCATGTATGCACTGCCATTCACTCACGTACTGCTTTTCAGTGTTTGCGCTGTACTACCTACAAAACCAAAACAAGTCAAAGCACATCTCTCGATAAATTATGCTTATTACACAATCAAAAAATGTGAGAACTGGAAGGGACACACATGTTTGTCTAACTTCCTCATTCTAATAACCTTTCAAAAAAAAAAAGGAAGCTGAGACCCAGAGATTGAATGATATATAATAATAAAGCTATTTAGCATCAGAACTAGATCAAGACTCTTTCCAATGACACAACTAGACAGCAGAAACTGGGTTCCTAGAAAAACTACTAAAAAAACCTCCAAACCACCATTCATACTACATAAATCACCATTCATAGCAACCCCCAATATTAAACAATGGAGTATGTGCCATGAGAAAAAGTTTCTTGGTAACAGATTGCTCTTGGCACTCCACCAGCGTTTGCAAGGTGACCTTGGAACTGAGAAGTAGGAACAAAGCTCTTATGTTTTGACTTAGCACCTGATTCAGGATTCACCTTCCTGCTGCTAGGCCTTCAGCCAGGATTCCCTACTTGCTGACCGCTGGGTACAAGATCAGTTGCTCACAACCACTATAGAAAACCTCGTCACTGGAACCTACCTCCTTGGCCATGTCTGTATATTTCTGCTTTTCCTTTGGATCGAGAACAGCCCACCAATCAGCCAGTATCTTTGTAGCACCTCGGTTATCAAGCTTGGGATGTTTCTGACGTACAAGGGAGCGATGACGTTTGCAGAATAAGAGAAATGCATTCATTGGTCTCCGGGCTCGTTGTTCTGGTGATTCATCATCTTCAGTCTCACCAACATCTTGCTCTAGGCCATCAGCCCCAAGAACTTGAACCTATTACCAACCAAAACAAAAGCCAGAAGTTTCACACATCCGGGACAATTTTGCTTTAACAATTAGTCTTCAATTTCAAATTTTATTTTTTTTCTTAGCTTCATTTAAACAACTTACAAATGGAAAAAAACGATTTTTTAAAAATCATCAAGTACTGTTAGTGGTTGGTAACCAATTTGTGATGTATTCTTCTGCTTAGTTTCTATAGCAACCTGTACATGTCTCCATTACAGCATATATTACATTGTGTTATAATTGATTACATTTTTTTCTCTCACTCAACAGTGAGCTCTATGAGGACAAAAGCTCTCTTACTTACCTTTACAATCACACCACCTAGCTCAATGTCTGGTGTAACATTAGTCCTTAACTAACTGTTAAACGAATGTGCTATATGAGTCTCAAGATTAACAATATTCACATAAAATATACAAACATTCAGAGTTGTCCTCTTTGTAAAATGATTTTCTATGGCTAATAAATAATAGGAAAATGTATAACATGAGAGTGGATAATAAAAATTTAACATGCACGACAATGATTTTGTGCACATCACAAGTATAGCCTACTACTGTGAAAATCAAGAGACATTTTACATTATTTGAACAAGAACTACATAGTAAACTTTCAAGCTTTCTTGTCTAGTGAAATGCTGAGGTGAAGAATAACCTCATCTAGGCTTAAACCTTCTGAATCCTCCCTTTCCCTAAGCACTCCATCCATTCAAGGTCTTCGAGGACTTCTGCAAAGCTTTGATCTTGTCCAATCCACCCATGTAATTCTCATTGTTGCTCCCCTTGTACCACTCTGTCTTAGGGCCGGCCTAGACTTCCTGCTTTTCATTTCTTACAATACTTCCTGCACACAGCTGAAGATTACATTTTTTCAAGTAGCTCTCTGATCACAGAATCTCAGAATATACTAGGATCGTTAGATATCTTCTAATGCTAAAATATGATTCTGTATTTTGTGGAAACAGTGCAACTGTGAACAGAAGTCCAGAATGCTTACTAAAACCATTTCCTTAATGTTTTGTTTTATAGTTAAAATCAAGAAGGATCAAAGCTGTTAAGTCTACATTTTATAATAGGGCAGTAGCTCTTAAACTTGGGTGGGCACTCAAATCCCTCGGGCTCTTGTTAAAATACAGATCGCTAGGTTCCATTCCCAGTTTCCGATTCTGGAGGTCTGGAGTGGGTCTTGAGAATTTGTATTCCTAACAAGTTCCCAGGTGATGCTGAGGCTGCTGGTCTGAGGATCACACTTGGAGAATCGCTCTTATAAGTTAACCATGTTCTTTTATATCATATTTATTGGGTAACTGCTATAGACACGGTACTCTCGGACAAATCATGAGCTTAATCCAATTTGGTATTTTTTAAAAAGTCTTTTAAGTTTTACATTAAGTATTGCAAATGCATTTGATTAACCATCAATTATCTTCAAACACAAATAGTACAGAAAAACTTAAAGTCATTAGCTGATTTGGAACTACATTAGGGATTATTATTGGGGTGAAGCCTCCAGATTTATTTTTCTCATTATGTATACAATCATTAACAATGATTTGAATTTCAAGGAATATTCATTTAGCATTCTGAAACTGACTAAGAAGCTATGGAAAAAGCAGGCATAAAAAAAATGTGTTATGTAGGTTGAGAAAGTAATTACATTTCCCTTCAGAAAAGAATAACTTTTGATGCAGTTACTAAATTATAAAACTCAAGCCAAGAGCTGGAAAAAGAAATAAATAACAAAAGATCCTGGCCCAAGGAGCTCACCGCTTTGGGAAGGGAAAAAGATATATAAGCAAATAAATTAAAAAGCAGTATGCTGGCTGCGAACAAGGAACCGGTGAGATAATGAAGCACTAGTGGACAGAAGTCTCCCTGGGAGAGGTGCTGTCGGAGCTAAAGTTTGAAAGATGAATTAGAATGTGTCAGCTAGTCAATAGAGAGATATGGGGAACTAACAGGTATTATGGCTCGATGGTTTATTTAAACCATCAACAGCACTGGTATATAAAAGATTACAACAGGGATCTAGGACATGAGGTCACAGAAGAAGGCAGGGGCCACAATTCACGAAGAATGTGCTGTCATGTAGAAAACCATACATTTAACCTTGTAAATGAATGGTTTCAGATTGTACAAACCAACAAAATAACCTTGGGGGGACCAACACATATAGTCAACTTTTTATTTGCTAAGTACAGACATCAAAATTAAGTTTTCAACTACTCTTTAATGTTTCAATTATTTTAGTATATTAACCAACCGAAAAATGAATAAAGAAATCAATCTGTAAATACATAAACTGAAGAAAAATGAAAAACTCTACCTGGACTTATTTTTCTTTCAAAGGGGCTGAGTAATGCTTTGTAAAATCAACACTAGTACCCGGCCAGGCTACGGAAACCACAGCTGGATGCAATGGAGACCATGAGTGGTTTTCAGCAGGGGAAAGACATTGTTAGACTTGTATTTTAAGATAACTCCTATTATCAGCAGTGTGGAGCATAAGCTGTAAACAGCAAAACAAAAAGCAACCCAAACTAGAGAAACCAGTTCCAAGTTGATTCCAGCTGTCCCAGGACAGGAAGGAATAGGGCTGAATCAAGGTAGTAACAATGAGAACGGTTAAGTATGAAAAGGGGCGGTATTTATTTATGAGACAGAACCAAGCGTGATTGGTATCTAGTTGGATTTAAAGGTTGAAAAAAGAAATGTTTCTAGCTTTGGTGGCAAGACTCCCTCATACACAAAAGAGAGTACCTTTTCGCAATGAGAGAAAGTAGACCTGGTGGGGAGAAGATCAGTATTGAGCAGGCTGAACTTTGAAGTGGATCTCAGAAGTCTCAGCTGGGATGACGAAGTGAGGTACCAATATACAGGTAGTAAGACTAAGGGTGTGGACTGAAAAGACACGAGGGTTCAATGGCTTCCTTCTTTCACTCAGTAACTGTTTACCGGGCACGTGATATGGACCACACGCTGTTCTAGGTGATGCCTTTAGGAAGCAGAAAAGTAGCACACCAGCCTCCCACTTTGAAAGGGTCCCTCTGGCTGCTTTGTTGGTAACAGACCATAGAGGGAGAGAAGCAGGATAAATAATCTGCGCTAGAAATGGCAGTGGCTTGGATTAAGATGGTAGTAGTGAAGTTGCTATGAAGTTGCTATGTTCTCATGAATATGAGAACGTATTTTGAAGGCATAAATGAGAATTTGCTGATGGACGGATGAATGTGAATGAGACCTGAGCAAAAGACAAGAGACAAGGTTTCAGGTCAGACCAACTTGAAAGTCGGAGCTGCCATGTACTGAGAAAGGGAAGAGGCAGGAGGATGCAGTTTGGAGGAGCAAAGCGAAAGCTTCATTTTGAACACATTCAAATTGAGATTCTGATTTGATATCTAAGTTATATCAAATAAATAGTTGGGTAAATAGTCAGAAATACATCTGAGTTCAGAAATACAGAGTTTAGAAAAGGTCCAGGACAAAGATAGAAATCAAAATAAGAGGCCCGAAAGACATCAACATTTCAGGGTAGAATAACGGCGGGGCATCACCTGAAAAAGCCTAGGAAGGTATAGCTGAGTGCTGTCATGGGACTAGGAGACAGCTTCAAAGACCAGGTGATCAGCAGGTGCAAATATGTCAGAAAAATCAAATTAGGTATAAACTTGGCAATTTCCTTGAATAGAAGGAGAAACACCTATTTTTCTGAACAAGGAAAGGAGGAAAAGTTGGGTCAGGAGCGAGAAAAGTACACAGCATAGTAGAGGCAACTGAAAGAGTCATTTCTAGTGGCCTGTATTTTCTCCATGAAAGAGGAAAAATGGTCAACAGTGAGCGAGACCATAAAGGGTATCCAGAGCTAGCTGAGAAACAAGAAAAACTGTTTACAATTCCTGCTGAGATGGTGGAAGAGGGAGCTGACACAAGCCAAGAACCAAAGACTGAATGGATGTCCAAGGCCTGAAGAATATTAAAACCACATTTATAAAATTTGCAGTGATACAAAATACATACTCATTTATTCTTCCATTTATCTATTCAATACCTACTATGTGCCAGGCACCATTCTAGGTTCTAAGGAAAGAGAAGAGGACAAAAGGGGCAAGACCCCTGCTCTTGCTGAGCTTATAGTCCAGTCTAGAAAGATCCACATCACCAAGAACACAGTTAAACACAGGGCAAACAGTAAGAAGTGCCATGAAGGAAACCCTTTGACCTGGAATGAGTTGGGCGGGAATGACACCTGAGATGATGAGGTCCCATCTGTGGGGAAGCAGTCCTTGTGCTTAGACCTGAAGATGAGAAGGAGCCAGTTATCCAAGACCTGGAGAAATAGGTGGTTTTCTAAAGTCACATGCGTGGTTAAGTGACTTTCTAAACAAGAGCCACCTGTTCAAGTAAAAGACCACAGAAAAGGACTGGGAGGACTGAGTGACCACGGAGGCTTGGGGGGTGAGAGCACAGAGATACCACAGAGATGATGGAGGACCTGGACTGCTCTGAGACTGCCGAGGGTGACGGGCTAGGCTGGATGCAGAGAGGCCAGAGGAGCAACAGGGTGGGCGCCAGGTGAGCACATCCAAGTTTACGAACACCCCATCTCCACTGCATCAGAACATTACCTTCAAATCATTAGTGGACAGAAATACTATTTAAGAAGGATCTGTTTCAGTCTCCACTATTATTAAATACAGATACATTAAGAATCATCAATACTTGTCATAAAATGCAGATTACGTAATTAAATAAGGTTCAAGGTACAGGCTTTTAGAAATGCATCTTTCAAACCCTACGCGCTCGCTGAAGTTTCTAGAATGAATGCTCAAATAAACTGAAAACTTCTATAATAACTGAAGGAATTACCTTATCAGTATCCTCTTCTTCGTCTTCGTCTTCCTCCTCTTCAGAAAAGTCAAGAAGTTTCTTTGCTAGCAATGGATGCCACTGAAGACACTTCCGTTTTGGTCGTTTTCCAGCCCCTTCTCCTTCTGCTGAATGATCTTTATTTCTATTACTGCCTTTCATTACTGTGTCCTGTGGAACGGAAAAAAAGAGAGAAACAGAGAAATCAAAGTAAATTTGACTAAAATTAGTTTATTTAGCTTCCTTAGCTTTAATTGGATTATAGTTTTAATGACTCAAGTATCTACTAGCTCAGGCACTGACTAGATTCAGTAAGAATTCTAAGCACATAATCAAACATTCATTTTAGTGGGCTAAAGTGAGCTAATAAAATTTGTCTTTTATGAAATCTACCTCCTTCCACTCCGTAACTTCAGAACTCAAAGCTCAAATAAACTGTTAGGGATGATTACAAGTTCCCATCACCTGTTCATATTTATCCAGGTAGTTGTTTCTCAAAGTTTTCCATCAGACAAAGGTGGAAGATACTTCCCAGGGGAGCAGGGATGCTCACAAAGGGGGCGCTCCGTTCTTTCTCCGATGGTTCTTATTTTCTTTATTACAGTAATTTAAATGACTTTTGTATTCTATGGGGTTGTCGGAAAAGTCATGATGCATTTTTGCAACAAAAAACATAGAAAAAATACGTCATGACTTTTCCGACAACTAATAATACACTATCATCATCTGAGCTTGGCGCATTATTGGGTTGTCATAAAAGTCATGACGCATTTTTTCTGTTTTTTGTTGCAAAAATGCATCATGACTTTTCCGACAACCCAATATTAAATAAAATGAATACTTTGTAAGACTCAAGTGTTCAGGATTTAAAATAAAACTATTTCATAAGATGACACACATTTTCCAGAAACTAGCTTTGTGCAGCCTCCAAGGATACAGTGCATGAACACTAGGTCATACTTAGTGGGGTGAGCAGCTTCAGTACCCATCTGTGACACCCAAAAGTGTCTCTCCATTACATACGCACCACAAGCCAGTGACAAAGTTTTACTCCTTAGTGTCTCCCCACCCCCAACAGGTAATTGGCTGAAATAGCTAAGCGATAGCCAGGCTAAGAAGCCCAAAATTCTAAGTTACTCTAAATGACTTAAAAAAGGAAAGTTTTTCTCAATGATGAAAACAACACATACTATAAAGGTGAAAATAGCATAAAATGAGGTTTATGCTTCATCATGCTCAGTCCCACAGCCCAGAAATAAATTACACGTGTCAATTTCATATATATATATATATATATATATATATATATATGTATATTTGATGACAATTTGT